GAAATTAGAAACTTTAATAAAAAATACATTGAATAAACCATTTTATTGTTAATTAATAAAAAGCCTGTTTGAAATAGTATATGCTGAACAAAATTGAAGTCAACAAAAGAGTTTACAAGCGTTTACATGATTTCTTGTATCTCTGCTCTTAGTACTTTTCTTTCGATTTGAAAATTTCCATCCCTCCCTTCACATTAATGATTTGTTGGACTTTAATAACGTTTCCCCCCCCCCTTCATTTAAAGATTAACTTTCGACCCCTACGGTGTATAATTTTTTTTATTACTTCATTTTTACAAGGATGAGAAAAATGAATATTACAGAAAACCCAGCATATAAATCAACGAGATTGATAAGTAAATTCGGAATGTTTTTGTTTTTATTCAGTTTTCAAGCAACATGAGTATAATTTAATTTGTACAGTAAACTATGAGAAATAGTAAAGATATAGCCTATACTGTAAATTAAAACAAAATATTTGGTTTAATATAAAACATTTTCCTTTTAAATCTTCGAAATATTTCGTCTTACTTTCAAATGTGATTGTTTTGGAAGAACTAACACAAAATTAATTGTGGGAGAGATATTTATGTTGATTAATTAAAACTTTGCTGCAGTTTCTTATAAGTTAAAGCTACAAAAGTTTGCTCACCAAAAGAGTCGTGGAGAAAAAATGCATTAATTCGATTGTTACAATCAACGGAGGTCGCTCAACGATATTGAAATTTTTTACTAGATCATATTACATCAGATAATTTAACTATTATCTACTGTAATATTATCCACTCAAAACTTATTAACTGATTAAAGCTGTTACGAAAAAGCTTAAAACAACAAAGCTTAGAAATTATTTTTTTATTTGTATTTATTTATTTATTTATTTATTTTTTTTTCATTTCTGTGTAATAATCTCAAACATCGTCAAGCCATCTAGAAAATTCTTAACGAAACTCTGCCTAAAAACTTTCATGTTTTCAATTTTTCTAAGTAAAAAAAAGAAGTTAAGAATTAAAAATTCGGGACTTGCTTTAAAAATAAAAAAATAAACATTTTCTTATAATTGTGCTTAGTAAAATAGAAAATTTCTTATTGAAAAGATGCAAAAATATACGAATTTTGTACGAAAATATACGAAAGTTCAAAACCTAGAGTAAACATGGAGTAAATTAAAGATTAATGGAAAGAGAAGCAGGAAAAAAAATCTTAAAATAAAATATAAAATTTTTAAAAAAAAAATAATATTAAAAAGCCGGAAAATAAAACATATGATCTCTTCATCACCTCACACGATTATATCAGCAAAATGGAATGGTTTCTAATATTGTATCAATGTAGCCAAAACAAAATATATCAATACAATAGAGTGAGGAGTACTAAAAAAAATTTAAACAGAAAAGAACACGTTAAGTAAAAAATATATCACGTAAAAAACAAAAATAAAATGTAAGGAAAAAAACAGAACAAAAAACAAAACAAAATCTATATAGTGAGTTGTGAATTTTAATGAACTCCCGTGTGCGTGAAACTTTCGAGAATGAGTTAAAATATTTTCGTAATAAGATTATCAGATTACAAAATATGAAAACAGAAGTGCAGCTGGAGCTAAAAGCGTAAATAGAGGAATTTGTTTTATAGTGTGTTCTTATTGCAGTAATGAAGCGCGTTTGATTTGTTAGTTACCAAGGATTGACCCAAAAACGCATGTGCACAAGGTAATAATATTATACTGGATAATTTAGAGCCGCGATGGCGCTCAGGGAATAGAGCGCCCTTCTTCCAATGAGGTGAGCCGAGTTCGAATTCCAGCAATGGCTGGTCGATACGAATTCCTCATCCGGCTTGCAATGACTCCAGTGCTGATGTAGGATATCCTCAGTAGTAGACGGATCATGGGTTAGAGTCTCTTTGCCTTCAGGGTAACCGGGGAAGGTTTTTCGTGGTTTTCCTCACCATGTAACGCGAAAGAGAGTTAGTTACATAAAAAAAGTCCTCCACGAAGACCAATTTCTCCCAATACTTGATACAAGGCTACTGAGTTGAACATTAGCAGTCGTAAACCCAAAAATTGATTGGAATACGAGTGCAAAATTTTAAAGTAACTATAATTATTTGTTGTATAAATATAAATTAATGGAATTAATTTTGAAAATTGGGTGTTTTAATTTATCGAAAAGAGATTTTCAAAAAGTAGAAAGTTAAATCGATATTTTGAGTGAAAATTATTTATAATGTTCCTTTTCTAATTCCCCCTCCCCCGTTCTATACTAAGTATAACTTTTGAAACTCATGAAAAACAAGCGTCATTAGTGCAGGAAGGAAACAGTGGTTTCATGTGTGCTTCAGAAGTTAGAAATCTCAAAAATTGCCCCTTAATATTTCAGAAAAAATATTTAAAAATCAAAAAATTCATTAATTATCATCGATTTAATTTTTGCTTATTTAAAAACAAGCTAATAAATTAAATAATTATTCAGCAGACATTTAGCTCATTGAAATTCTTTTAAAAACAGTTTTTGAACTATTTACTACTAAATTATGAGAACTATTTTAATTATGCATTTTAATTTCGTCCTACTCTAGAGTTGGACGTCTGTGAGACGTCAATGATTCTGTATGAATAAAAAAAAAAATCTTTTTTTTTCCTTACACAAAGTGATGTAAGTCTTTATTATTTCAGTATTAACAAGTTGAACGCAAAACTATGGCAGAGACAAAATTTACTTATAATTGAGTTATAGCTAAAAAATTAACTAACAACCAAAATGAAGCTTTTCATATTTCTTTAGTTTCCTTCTCCCAGTTTTTGTTTTATTTTTATTTATTTATTTTAAGTTAAAACCGCAAAGCAGTATTCTGTAATAAATAAAATTAAGAATATCGATTTTTTGGTGGCTGTTGAGCAAAATAATTTTTACAAGTTACATTTAAAACGACGTAATTAACCAATTTGTGCTTAACGTCCTTTTGGGCCTATTTTTCAAAACAAGAAAGAAAAAAAAATAGTAACATATTTCATACTAAGTATATTTTGTTTTGCTTTTTATTTATTTATTTTATTTTTTGATGAGACTAGATAGTCCTGATAAGAGCATATAAGTAATATAAACTTTATACTTGTATCAGATTTCAAAGCACTAAGTTACAATTTTGATAAAAATAGGCTAAAGTGTTAATAGGAGAATACTTTTAATTCATTAACAATGCAGTTTATTAATTAAATTACAAATTCTGACTTTAATTACTTTTTTGTGTCCTTTATGTTATTCTTCTTTTTCCGTCGTATCTATACAGCTTAAAAATTAAAAAGTCTTTGATTAGAAATATATTTTAAAAACTTAATTTTAATTTCCTTATTTTCAGGACAGTGCTTAATCTTATTTTTGCTTTATATCTTGCAAGTTTTTCACATGATTTTTGATGTACTTATTTATTCTTCAATGGTTAGACGTTCATGAATCTAATTTATTTCAAGTGCATACGTTATATTAAAGGTGGCATTACAGAAAAATAAATGAGCCAAGTTTATAAAAAACTATTGATTAAATGTTTAAAAAAAAGAATGCAAATAAATTTGATTTATACAAATATATATTATATTAAAAAGCGACATTTCTGAATTTATATATATATATATATGTATAACACTATAATTGTAATCATACTTAAGTATATATTACGTAGTGAATCAGAATATCATAAAAATGAGCAAACTTTTAACATTATTGGTATTATTAATTCTTTCAATCTTTCAATTAAAGTTTGTTGAAATCTATTGAAAATTTAAATTAAAATCATTAAGAATAAAAATAATTTCTATATTTTCATAACATCCATTATAAATAAAAACTTTTAGAGGTAAGGAAACATTTTTTTTTCAACCCTGTATGCAACACGAACTAAATATGATTGGGAAGGACAAAAAATAAAGGGCTAGAAAATAGTCGCAAAAGTCATGCGAAACTTTTCATTTCTGTTCCAGTTTTATTTTTGTTATTTGTGCGAAGTAAATCTAAATGAAAGTAGGAATATTTATGCATATTTTCAAAATAAATATCAATATTTTGAATGGTGATCAATATCAATAAAACGGAATTATTTTCCAGTTGTATTAAAGCAGAGAAACTTTTCATGATTTGGCAAAAAAAATATAAGAAAATTTTAATATGAAAAAGAAAAGAAAAAAACTTGTAAAAAATTTTACAAGCTGAAATTTAAGTACTATTTACACAAACCGATATATTGAGTTACAGTATTTTTTTTTAAATCTAATACCTCAAAATTACATTTTCAAAAAAAAAGAAAGAAAAAAAAGGAATTATTTGATGAAATTTTCGTGTCATATTTAATGCACACAATAAAAGAAATGTCTACATTTATGCATGAGTAATACGATATATTACATATAAAATTATATCTATATATCGTAACTGAATGTAATTTTTCTACTAATTTATGAATAATTCTATAATTTAAGATGTATGGGTTTATTCACAAATAACGACATTTAAAAGAAAACGTAATCCAACGTGCTCTTTAGAAATAATATAATTTAACTAAACAATTTCAAATACGTTTTCATATATGTTAATCAAAACAATTAAGCAAATTTATTGTACACTTCATCCTGTAATTTTCAGTTTAATTGGTGTTGTAAAAAAGTTCTTACTGCTTTCAACCTTTATGCAACAGTTTATTCAAATAATTCAATGTACTTGTTTAGTAATTACAAATTAAATTGAAAATATTGTTTACTTTAACTTTTAAAATTCGGTTGTTTTCTGATTTGGACATTGGAAACAAAATAACATTGTACTTACCTCCCAATCGTCGCGCTGGGGGATTGTTTAAAAAAAGAGGGGAAAGAAGAAAAAAAACAGGGGGTAGATGTGTAAACAAAAGGTGCCCTGCCTCCTTTTCTGACAAAGTTTGTGAAAATCACATTTAGCCTATTTGCCAAAACCTCTCTCCACAATTCTTCTCACAAATACTCAACGTTCTATAAACACCACCATCTCCAAAAGACAAAGTCTCGACGCCATTGGTTAGAAGTGACTGAAATGGGCGTTGCCACAGGAGGAGTGAAGGCGTGGTTTCATCACTCGAGTGAAGAGAGTGATATCGGATTGGGGCATTGTGAGTGGTAGAGGCGTCTGAACAGTAGGCACTCGTATTTAATGTGTCGTTTGCGGTCGGGCACGAGTTATTTAAAAAGTTTTTTGTGGCAATCCGCTATGGTTCGTATTGAAGGGACAGCAGAAGCGATGGTTGTTCCGAGACGAACTTCCTTCTCCATCAGCAGCCTTATCAACGGCGGCGAGGACGACGATAATGTTCCGGCGACTGCCGCGGCGGTCGTCACTCCACCACCTCCCGCGGTCGAATGCCCCCGGGACTTCAGTAATCGGCGAAATAACATTGATGGAGCTTCCACACCTCCAGATTCCGATACGAAATCGGACGCGACTACCCCGATCACTTCTTCGCCTCCTTCTCCAAGCAAAGTTGCTCAAGACAAATCTAGCAACAAAGCAAAAAACTCATCCGATGACAAAAAATCTACCTTTGAAAAGCCACCGTTCAGTTATAATGCACTTATTATGATGGCCATCCGCCAAAGTCCAGAAAAGAGACTGACCCTAAACGGAATTTATGAGTTCATCATGAAAAACTTTCCTTATTATCGAGAAAATAAACAAGGTTGGCAAAATTCCATTAGACATAACTTAAGTCTTAACAAGTGTTTTGTCAAAGTTCCACGGCATTATGATGATCCAGGAAAAGGAAACTATTGGATGCTCGATCCAAGTTCAGACGACGTATTCATTGGTGGTACAACCGGTAAACTACGCAGGAGAACTACCGCAGCATCCAGAAGCAGACTTGCTGCTTTCAAACGGGCAGGAGCGCCCATGTTTCATGCAGGACTCAATCCAGCATTTCACCATCACGACAAATCAACTCTGGGCTGGTCCCTTGCTGGTTATGGTGGTTTTCACACGCCTGGTGGTCTCTTGTCTTTCAAATACCCATATTCTAGCTTAACAACGAATATGGCAGCTTTACAAAGTCCTAAGCCAACAGGCTTCAGTGTAGATAGACTAATAGGGGCAGAAACTGCCGCAAATCTTCATAATCCTTTGTGGTCAAGTCTGGGATGCCCTCCTGGCTGTTCTCCTCTAGGATTAGGTAGTCCTCAAGGTTATTCAGCTATGCCTGGTTGTGGGTACTTACTATCATCTCTAGTCGCTCCTGGACAAGCTCTTTATGATCTCCAAGCCCTAAGGACAGTTTCTGCAATGAATTGCCAAGCTGGACAGGCGAGGAATGCCAGTCAAAGTTCCACGACGTCCAGTTCTGAAAATTCCACGACGATCTACAAGCCCATACCAATTATGTCCAAACAAAGCTAGTGAAACATCTGCATTCCCATGTACATAACTATACTTTTTGTAGATATTTCATGTAAATATAATAACTGTTCCTCGGTGATGGACTTCCAAGGATTGACATTTGTAAAGAACCAGTGAAGTGAACTTTATGAACAAATTTTGTGTTCTAAAACTAGTGACAACTAAGTTGTGCCGAGCAAAGTAAATATTACTCCTTACCAGCTATAAGCAGGTAAACATTTCCTAATAGTATTAAAGTTATCTTTCGTAACGGTGCACAATGTGTAATATGAAGTAGTTTTATTATTTCATGACTACAATTGTTGGTTCCTATAAACATATCTCATAAAGATTTTATATACGAAAATTTTATTAATTACTTATGATAGTAATACTTACTTTTACTTCAGTTTAAGATTATCTTAATCTGAAGATGTTCCCGGTTAAATAATTTTGTTTATTTATAGTTATTTCATTAGAGCTTTAATTTTTTTTTTCATTGTAAATATTTTTTTTATTTTATCTAAGATCTTCATCTAATCATTATTGGAAAATATACATTAACTAACATTTCTTGAATCAATTTTAATAACTTGTTTAAATTGGCTCTAATGTCTTGTTTAAATAAATTATTTCTTCATTATTAAATATTATGAATTTTTTTTTTTGTAATTTTAATTTAAATGAAATTAGAAAAGTTAAAGGTTCTGAGCTTTATTTTAAAAAAGCGTAGTAATAATAATTATAAATAATTATTTAGATTTTAAGTTATCTAAAATTTCCTTTTTTTCTTTTCTTTTCTTTTTTTTTGGGCAGAATTATATAAAGTTTTTAAAATTGATTCCAAACACTTATTTAAGTTCTTATCTCTAAAAGCAAATTAGTAAAAATTGTTTTTTTTTTATTCTTCTTTTTTTTAAAAAAAAATTGAATTTATTCAAAACTTTAATTTGGTCCTTGTAAAAAAACTATAAAAAAAGTTCTTATATTATATTGTACTTCTTATAAAGTTTTAATATATTTTTAGAAAATATGCTAAAAACCATTTCTAAAGCAGCATAAATTATTTTTTTGCTTATTATGATATAATTTTATTTAGGAGTTATTGAATTATGTTAGTAATTAGTCAATTTTATTTAAAAGAATTGCTTTTTAGTTTAAATAATAGAGAAAAAAAAATTAAAATTTATTTCAATAGCTTGTTCAAAACTTTATCAATATAAGCACTAAATATTTAATTTTTATTGCTGAATATAACTGAAAATTTTAGCTCAATGCAACAATGCAGAATGTGCCATAACATCTCTAATCGGTACTTCCCTTCTTGATATTTTTGATGTTTAAAGTAGTGAAGTATCTTAAGTATCAGCAAATACGGTGCCTTTAAAAATTACATAAAGATATTTAATATAATTTTTTTTTTGGTAATTTAAAGATTAAATGTTTAATATAAATTTTTCTTATAATAATTCAAAACTTCGCAAAGTCTTTTTTTTACAATAAAGAGGTATTTATTTTCATGCATTTTCAATAGTATTTAGTAAATTATTTTTGATCTCATATTGGCATGGATTCTTTGTTTTGTGTTTTATTCATAGAAAATGATATTGGTTTCTAATCTATTTTAATGTGATAATTTATTTTTCTTTTACTAAAGCCTTTTATCATAATTTGTGAGAAGAAAAAAATATGATCTGTAAACAAAGTTGAGTGTCATAAAAGTAATATCCGCCAATTTTATCAATAAATAAAAGTATATTATAAATTGAAATTGTTTGTTTTTCTTTTATACTGTCTACTAATTTCATTACTAAAACTAAACCAGTTTTGCTTAAACTTTATAACAATTACGAATTTCATGCGTGTTTTAAATTATTTTTTTAATAATTTGTGTAATTTTCTAGCTGTTTCTTTTAAAGTAAGTTCTTTCTTTCTTTACATACTGCAATTGTTTATTTTCAACTAAATTTATTATATGCATAAAAATGGTAGCAGCAAATCTTTGCAAAACATTGAAATTTTGCGTAAGTAATAGTATGTTGCAAGTATTACCACGAAAAGTTTTTAAAGGAATAAAAAAATTTTTTTAATTCGTTTGGGAAACAATATTTTTTTAATTTTCTAATAACTGTAGCTCCAATAAATACATTATTTCTTGATGACACTAACAAATTCATTTATAAATTAACATTTCTTTTGTTACCAATCGTTAATTTAACTTTACTTTTGTTACCAATCGTTAATTCCTTTTATATTCTACTGGGGGATATTTTTAACTAGGAGGATCTTTAATAGTGGCATAATCATTGTATTTTCCTTCAAAAACAATCTTTTTTTAAATTATAATTGCAAATAAGATGTGCTATTTATTCATTTTGATGTTGGAAATAGAAATAAACTAATCAATTAACTAACATTGAGAAGAATAAAGCGTTATGATGATAAGAGAAAATAAAGCCAATAATTTAAGCCAAGATAATTTACAAATAAAGCAAAGATAATTTACATTAAATAAAGCCAAGATAATTTACAAATACCATATTACAGTGATTAAAGTAGTATAAAAGTTTCGATGCAACATTGAAGCATCGAAGTTTGTATGCTATCTTAACTAGTGTTATGTAGAATTTTAGCGTTGTCTTTTTTATTTTATTATTAAATTAACATGGTTAGAAATTAGATGCATTCTATGAATGCTTTTGATCTTCTAATTTTTTCTTTCTTTTCTTTTTAAATAATATAAAAAGAAGAAAAACTACAGTATTAAGAAAAAGTAGACTTCTTTTTTTTAAAACAAAAAATCGAACTAGGTTACAAATTTTATACACATATATGTTGTTTGAAGACATTTTTTAAAAATATATTAAGTCATACTTTTTAGTCAAAATCAGTGGTATTTTCATTAACCAGTGTGTAATTGTTTATTTTTTTTTACAGGAATTAAAAATGTTCTTTCCAGCGTTTAAACTCTTTTTGTTTATTTGTTTCTCTTACTTTGTTCATAAAAACTTCAAGCAGCATAATTCAATTTTACTGATAAAAATCATAAAAATGGAGATTAAAAATAGCTGTCAAGAATTATTTAACTGTCATAACAGATTTAGCATAAAATTAAAAGATAAAAGCTATTACTTTAAATGAAAGAGTTAAAATAATCATCTTAAAATGCGTTTATCATTTTTCTTTTTTCTGTGCAAAATGCAAACAGATAGAATTGACAAAAATGATTAATAGAATTAGATAGTTTCCTTAAATCTTAAGTAAAATAAATGTTTGGTTCTATCTCCCCTGTTTTAATACATATATCGCTTCTAATTTCTTATACATACTTAATTGTCTTTTGAATGGGAGAGCCCACATTTTATAGGCTATCATAAACTGACTAAGCAACACAGCTGAACGTAAGAATATAGAGAAGACAATTTACAATCTATATACATATTTCTGTTATGTTGTACCATAAACTCGGGTATTTATCTACCTATTGTCAACACTATAGTCATTATTTATTTTGTTAGATAGTCTTAATTAATAATTAAAGTACTGTTAAAGAATTATTTATACGTTAAGTATTGATTCAGATACATTTTGTTAGGTTGTCTTAAATAATGATTTAAGTACTGTTGAATAGTTATTTATATATTAAGTACTTATTTAAAATAATTTTGTCTTTTTATAGAAATAAAAATTAGCTACGAAGTAATTTTTTAGATTTATTTTTGATTCTTTTCAAAATGGCTGAAGAAATTTTAAACATAAACAGTGGCGCATACTCTGCATACACCAATTTTGGTGCAATAGCATATATGTATATATATATATATATATATATATACATATATATATACATATATATATACATATANTTCATTGTTTATATATATATATATATATATTATTATTATTATTAAACCCATATATTGACTTTTTTTCTGAAATTTATGGGAGAAATGCATTATTGCATTAGCATTATAAAAAGTGTGATTGCATCCTCATAACAATCATCATCGCACATCGGTTTTAATAAAACGTAAAATTTACATTTTAGAATGGTTTAAATACCTTTATTTTTGGTTGAAAATGAAATGAAGGAAAAGAAATCATTTAATTTATATTAATTGAAGAAAAATTTATTATTATTGTGCTAAATTATTTTCTAAAAGTTGGGAGAAAAAAAATTAACATTATTGTAAAGCATCATTACACAACCACCTACAGTAGGAATTAATTAAATATAAAATTTATGTTTTAGAAGTTATTTGAATATCTTTGTGTTTGGATATGAATATGAAATTACGTATAAAAATCCATGTAACTGAATTCTTTATTGATACACCAATAAAATGTTTCATAAACTTATTTCTCTGAAAGTTTTTTTTTTTAAAAAAGGATTAAATTTTATTGTAAAGTAATTACAACATTATAATAAAACTATATATGACAGATATTAATAAAATATAAAATTAATGCTATAGAGTGATTCGAATATCTTTCTTGGCTATTTTGAAATACTTTGAACGAAAATAATTTTCAATTAAAATTCTTTTAGCTTTAAATTAATTATTACTTCAATAAAATGCTTCAAAGCTTTTTTTGAAAGTTTGGGAACGACAAGTTTACTTTTAAAAAGAGATTACATTATCGTAATACAACTTCTCATAATAGGTATAAAAATATAGAATTATTGCTTTAAAAATATTTAATTATCTTTGATTTTAGTTTTGAATATGAAATAAAAACGATAATTCCTATTAGATATTACTCAAAATTAATTATCTTTGATTTTATTTTTGACTAAGAAATAAAAACGATAATTCCAGTTAGATATTACTTAGAAGACTCATACAATCATCATTTACAGGAATTTAGAATATTAAGGGAATTTAATACAAAAATGAAATGTTCTGGGGGAAAGAACGGTTGTTTTCAGATAACATGACGCACAACGCCATAATCAATATATATTACAGTATACTTATATTTCTTTTCTTTATATAAAAAATAAATGGGCTTGATCAATAATCAGTTAAGCGAGTTTTTTTTAACTTATATAGAAACCTTACTTACTTTACAGAATCATGATTGATCACCAGTATTAAAGTATTTAAAATGATCACATTCTTCACTTTAACTAATCATTTTCTAGAATAACAAATGATTTGTCATTAAAATATGAAACATGATTGTACTGTAGAATAACAATAGATCTGACATTAATGTTAAAAAAATTCGATGTGTTTCAATTTTCTGCCTTAACTAGTTATTTTCCAGAATGATGATTAATTTGTCATTAAAAAATGCATAAAAGGATTGTATTCTAAATATTAACTAACTATTTGGTAGAATAACAAAAGCTCTATTATTAAAGTACAAAAAATACTTACGTATTAATTGTCTATTTTGACTATTGTTTTATTGAAAGAAGATCGTACTGTCGCTAAAATGCATTAAAAATTGTTTTCTAAAAAGTAACTTGTTATTACCTGGAATGGCAACAAATCTATCGTTAAAGTGTATAAAATCATTAAATTGCCTACTTAAACAAATAAAAAACAACGATTGATTTGTCACTAAAGCACATAAAATGATATACTGAGAAAAAAAGTATAGCCATAACTACCAGAATGAGGTAAAATTTTCCGTGTATCTGACTCAATGGGAACATAAAAATGC